TGCATGTCTTGTGATCGAGCCTTCTCGGCTGCCCGGCCATGGCAGCAGCGCCATGCTGGCCGATTCCCGGCCGCCATTTGGACCCGTGGAGGACCCGCCACCGTCCGCTTTCCTCCTGGTGCCCTCGGTTGGGAAAAGCGTGGCCCCTAGCCTCAGTACCACTCGCTCCGGTGACCTCCATGCCGCCCGGCAATGGCGCCCCTTGTGGCTGCCCCTGTTCGTGCTGGCGCGCGCCTTTCTCTCTCCCTCCCATCTGTTCTAGACCGTCCGATCTTGATCCAACGGCCACCGTTGGCCGATACCCTTTCGCGTGTAACTTTGCTAAAGAGACCCTCTGTTTTCATGTAATCGAACCCGCCGTCCTTAGCGTATTTCCCCGAGTACGCTCTCTCGTTTGGAAAGCGTAAATTTCACTGTTTTAGTTCAAAATACGTTTTCAGTATTTACAGAAATGCCACTAGAATTGTTTTGCTCATAAAAACTACGTTTTAGCTCCGAATTGATCCATTCAAATCGCGTTAGCTTCGTAAATTCATAAGCTACATGATGACGCTACTGATAGTCAAGTTTGGAACTTTTTAATTTTATGATTAGAATTAATTAAATATAGGGCTATAGGAAAACCCGTTTTAATTATAACTTTCGCATTTTAGCTCCGTTTTTCGTGAACTTCGCGTTGACGTGATCGTAGAGAAACGTAGATTAGTTTTACAAACATTTTATCTTGATTTCAATACTGTTGGTGTACTGTTCTAATGATAGGAATGTTTGCTTTGCATGAATTCCTTTGGAATGTTGTATGTTGCCGTGTTGGTCGCGTTCAGACGGTGAGGAGAACGTCGGTGACCAAGATTTCTTCGACGAACAGCAGGACCAGCACGAGTTTGTGAACCAAGGCAAGTATAGCATGGGCCTTCCTTGATGTCCTATTCACCTTAATCAATTACTCATTTGCATGTGTCTAATTTTGATACCCGTAAGGATATCCTAGTGATTGTTTATCCTGTTCCTTGTCTCCTATGGGTTAAATGCATGTGGGTAGATTGCTAGTGCTCTAACTGAACTTGACATACATGTTGATGAATGATACTATGGAACAAAGTGAGTAACATGATTTATAACAACTGTTCCATAGGCGTAAAGTGCAAATGACCTTTGTTCATGTTGCTCTCGGCCCTCCATAAGGACTTATCTGTCGGCAAAAAGCTGGGGACCTGACAAAGGCAACCGTGAGGGTCATATGGCTCTCGACTTTAGCTCAGTAATAGGACATTTTCTAGCTTGTTAGAGGTTACCTTTATGGCGCAAATGGGGCTTGCCACGTTGGGTATAGGATTGCCTCTGTTCCTATGTGTATAGCCATGATGGATATGTGCCATATGAAAGGGGTTCCTACATCCGCCGCCAAAGGAAACCTAGCGGCCCTAACTTGTTAGGGAAACCTATGAAATGGCTTCATAGTGTACCCCTGCCGCTCACCTTGGAAGTGACATGGGAGTAATTAACCCGGGCATATGGGGATCACGACTCGTGGTGAATGTGCACCACCTCTGCAGAGGGTAACAAGCTGTTATAACTTGACCGTGCTCACGCGATTCTGGCGGCTGGAAAACTCACAGAATAGATGACTACTTATAATGTTGTTTATACGAGATGATTATGATGATGTCACATGACTCAATTGGATCGGATATATGATCACGTGGGTTTAAAAGGGAGCTTAAGCATAACTTAATAATAGATGAGGATAAAATCTTGAATCTACTAAAAGTGCTAACTGCGAGAAACCAAAGTGTCATCCTTTTTGAGCCTCATGAACCCCATGTTATCTTGTTGAGTACGGGACGTACTTACGCTTGTTTAATTTTCAATATTTGAATAAAAATCCCGGATGGGTAACAGATGACAACGGATATAAGGAGTTTCCTGAGGATTATTAGGCTTGTGGTCAACCAGTCGACCGTCCCTGTGATGGAGTTCCACGAGAGAGTTATCTTTTATCTTCCATTTGTGTTATGTAAGTCAATGTGATGCTATTATTCGTTATGTAAGATACACCGTGATGATACTTTTTATAATTTGTCAACTTATGTGTGTGACTGATCCCTGGGCACACATGAGTTTAGTGCATTCAATTTTATCCTTAAAATTGGGTGTGACAGTCTGTGAGTGGGGTATGGTTGGGTCACATAGTCATAGTTAACGGTTTGTATGTCGTCTAAGTCTTATATATATATATATATATAGCTTTTTTATGTTCCAGATCGACTAATTGTAATAGATGGCAACACTTGGGTAATTAGTAGTGATTAGGTAGGCTGAAAACATTAAGGTTTCGTAATTTTGTCGTCATGGTAATGAAATTTAGGTTCGGCCATCATAGAGTCAAACTATAGCATTTCTTTCTTTTCTTTTTTTGAAAATTAACTGAAAACTAAGAACTTTTATGTGAAAAGAAGTTCAAAACTCGGGCGAAGTCCACGATCAGCTTATTAGATGTTGTCTCTCTCTTTACTGTAAGTTACTGTCAATGCCAAGGACTCAAAAAAAAAAAACGTTAAGCCAAAGCTTCCAACTAGACTGAAGCAGAGCATCTGAACATCTACTATAGGGTTCTGAATGGCAGGGCAATTCTCCTTTGGCAAGGAAGGGCCGTGGCCTAGCCCTGTGGCAAGCTTCTCAGCCTTCATGCCAGAGGAGAACCACACTGTGATTCTCACCCTCTTCAGTCTTCACACATGGACATGCTCGATCATGGCACCATCCTCTGCTCTGCTTGCCATTGTTCTTTCCTCTGTTTGCTTCTCTTCTTCTCTCTCCCTCACCTAGCTATCCATGTCCTTTACCTCTGGTGCCCGCCAGCTACCTATATATATACTCCTTCTGTCCCTAAATGTTGGTCGTCACGATTTGCGTGCCGATAACTTTAACTCGATTTATAGAAAATACGTGCAATATTTCTATCTCTAAATAAATTTATTAAAAAACTAGATTCAAATATCTATCCAATGATACTAATTATGTATCATAAATATTAATATTTTTTAATATATATTTAGTCAAAGTTTTTCTCGGGAAGCGAAAACGATAGACATTTAGGGACCGAGCGAGTACGCTGCAACCACCAGAGGGAAGATGTGAAGACGGAATCTGGATATGCTCGGCATGTGCTACTCCTTCCGTCCCCAAATAAATCAATTACTAGAATCCGTGCCAGTCAAATTTTTATAGAAAAAAGTAACAACATCTATGTCATAAAATGAGCACCTTATGAAAATATATTCTATGATAAATCTAATGATACTAATTTAATATCATGAATCTTAATATTTTTTCAAGAAATTCGGTCAAAGTTTAAATTTTTGACATAAGACAACTTTAGGAACCATTCCAGGGAAGCTTCTCTCTTCTTTTTTCAGCTGGCTACCTGGCTGGGCTGCGTTGCATGCATATGTGTCGCTCTTGCTGCCATGCATAGAAAGCAGCACATGCATGTTGCATGGCTCTCCTCCCTCCAATTCATCCTTCCCCTCTGTGTTTGGCCATGGACCATGGTGTCATCATCCAGAATAATCCATGGCACTTTTCCCTGTCCCACCTAGCTAAGCTTAGCCTTCTTGCTCTCGTTAATTAATTGTTTATTAGATCTTTGTCGAACGGCCGTCGCTGCTCAGATTAAAAGATAATATAGCAGCTGCAATTGCAGTTCAACAAAGTGTAGTACAATCTACAAATGATGCTGTGCCTTCATCGCCGAGCTAGGCTTGGGATACGATACGATAGCATATGAGCAGCGACCAGCGAGCAGAGCAGTACAAGTTGTACTTGCAGTTGCAGGGATGGAGGCCATGCACACACATGGAAATGGAATTAATCCTATCATGTGGACCATGCATGAATAATCGCATCTCGTCAAAGGAAAAAAGAAACATGATTGAGCCGTGTGCCTTTTTCGTGTGTGACAGTTGTGCGTTGCCGCTGGACATTCGCATGGATCTTCTCCAGTCTGTCGCCACGGAATCTCTCTCTCCATTTTGTGAGATTGTGCAATGCCGTCTAGCGAAGGGGCTGGCTAGCTGTTGGGGCGCCCAAGAGCCGCCTGCCCCTCTCATCCTGAATTCCTTGCTGATCGTTTGTTTAGATGCAGAGCAGTCGGTTTGTCTCATCGAGCAGATATATCATACAACTACAGTTCACACTCGGTTAAGCAACAACAGCCAAAGCCACATACCTTTGCGATCTTCTTCTTTTTTTTTTTTTTGCCAGGCTCCTCGTCCTCGATCAGAAGAGGCCGGCGGCCTTTCGTCGCGTAACAGGCATGCATGTGACCTATCTCCATCGGAAAGCGATGGATTCTGGCTTGTTTTTGTTGGCACGTAGGAGTATATATCTTTTTTTTTTAGATTTCTCCGGCTGACCGGCCTTGCTTTATCGGCGCGGGCGCGGCGAAAGGAGGACGGCGCATGTCCTGCCGGATATGCCCTTTCCGGCATGGTATAAGTATGCGACGCCGCCGTCCCTCTTCTCACCAACACCCCAAAAACGGCATGCCTACCTTCAGTATGTATCTATCCTTGAAGCATGTGTTTGTGGAAATGTGGAGGTCCATTGCTGGGCAACCCTCCGTTGGCAGGTGCGACGAAACGAACCCCTACCCTGCCAAAGGGGATTTGCCCGGCGATGCGCCTGCACACACTTAGATCAAGGTAGAAGAAGACGGTGCTCCAGCCGGCCTTCTACATTCGGCCTTTCTTCGGTCCATCAGACAAGAGCCCAATATTCGGTCTGGGTTGAACAAAGCCCAAAATCCATCACATGGTCCCCAAAAAGCCGAAACAGGCCCATGAAAAGCCTATCCCAGCTCCCACCACAACCCCGGCTAGGGTTGCTCCCTTTTAACCTCGCGCCGCCACCCCTTTCATCTCTCGACGCCCATCTCCTCCACCATCCGCCGCCGCCGAAGGAGAAGGAGAAGAGGATCCGGCCGTCTCCTCGCCCCCATGGTACCGCCCCCATTCCATCCTCGTGCTCCCATTCCCATCTTCCTCTTCCTCGTCCTGCCTGTTACATGTGACGCTAACTGGCGCGGCGTTCCGCAGGCGTCCGAGAAGAAGCAGTCCAACCCGATGCGGGAGATCAAGGTGCAGAAGCTCGTCCTCAACATCTCCGTCGGGGAGAGCGGCGACCGTCTCACCCGCGCCGCCAAGGTGCTCGAGCAGCTCAGCGGCCAGACCCCCGTCTTCTCCAAGGGTGAGTGTGTGCTGAGGTCTTGCGGCTCCGTTTCTTGCCTTTCGCTGACGGGGGTGCGTCCTTTTGCCTGCTGCTACGTTGGTCTTGGTCTTGCAGCGAGGTACACGGTGCGGTCGTTCGGCATCCGGCGTAACGAGAAGATCGCCTGCTACGTCACCGTGAGGGGCGAGAAGGCCATGCAGCTGCTTGAGAGCGGCCTCAAGGTCAAGGAGTACGAGCTGCTCAGGAGGAACTTCAGCGACACCGGGTGCTTCGGATTCGGCATCCAGGAGCACATCGACCTTGGTATCAAGTACGGCTCCGTCTTACTTTAGGAGAATCTTAGCTATGATTTAAGGCCACATGTTGTGCCAGTACATTCTTGTTTTTTCGATGTCAACTGGTTCCGAGCTTATGGGTTGCTGTTGTTGTTAGAAGCTTCAAAATTTCGGTCCTCTATTTCCATGTGGTCACTTAGAGGCGAAACCAGTGTTTGCAGTGATAATCTGATGCTAGTAAAATCCTTGGCTTTCTACTCCCGTTGTCCATTAGCTCCACGCCCAGTAATTGTTTCTGAACATGACAGATGCTTTAGTTCACTATTAGCATGTTTTTAAAATTGACTAAAACTTTGTTTTAGGTGTTTGTTGTTTAAGGCTGAGGTAATAGGCAACTTTATTAACAGAGCATCCAGAAATCACAACTCGTTCTGCAGTTATTGCATAGTTAATTGTCATACAAGTGGATAATATTTTCTTCAGTCAGTGCAATGCCAGTTCAGTGGAAGTTTACAGTTTAGTCTGTGTGCATTGTTGGTACAATGCAGTTCTTGAACTTTGTCATCTGCGCAGAGTTTATCTGGTTTTGCATATTTACATTTGGTGTTTGTTCCTACCGTTAAAACTGAAATGTGCTCCATATATATAATTTAATTGGCGGTTTATCTTGTTGTTTCAATTTTTGTCTGATGAGCTTTGTCACTAGTATTTGAGGCATTGGTTCCTTACTCCTTATGCAGTAAAGAATGTACCATTAGCCATTTAATGGCCTGAAATGTTAGCTGGTGTCAGCTGTGCATTGCTAACATGAATCAAGCTATACTGCTACACCTTGTAAATTTTTAATAAGTCACACACCAATGCACAAATTGTAATTATGTCGGCAGAGGCGATAGTTTTCAATATGCTCTGTTTTTAGTTGATGTATTATCTCCAGAGCCACTGAGCGATATCTTATGTATTGTGCAGGTATGATCCATCAACAGGCATTTATGGAATGGACTTCTACGTCGTGCTCGAGCGTGCTGGCTACCGTGTTGCGCGCCGCAGGAGGTGCAAGTCCCGTGTCGGGATTCAGCACAGGGTGACCAAGGAGGACTCCATGAAGTGGTTCCAGGTCAAGTACGAAGGCGTCATCCTCAACAAGGCTCAGGCCAACACGTCTTAAAACCTCACCTGTGGGCAAGGTTTTTGTATTCTCTGGCCAGATGTTTAGTCTACTAGCAGAGCTAAAATCGCCGTATGAATTATTTCTGTGCCCGTATCATACTCTGTGCTGTTGCTTGAAAACATGTTGGTCTGATCTCCTAGCGCAGCTTGTGATCTGGCTTTTCTTTGGTTACATGCTTTATCTGCCAACCTGCGTTTAAGTTTTTTTTTGTTTACAAATTACTGTCACCCCATTCTGGAAAATTGAAGCTGACTGAGGGAAGGTTTCTAATGTTTGTATTTGGGTATCGGCGCAGTACGGACATTTGTGTAGTGATTGTGGTCTCTACAGATTTTCTTCAAAAGGGTGGTAAAATTCCATAGGTGAATACAGAGTTCCTGTCATCAAGCCATCAGGGAGTAAGAAACTAGAGTACGAAGCAAGGACTTGTGTTTTCTTAAAAATTATACACTGGTATTCTTTCAACCTAGGGCTAGGGGAGACATTCCTGAAAACAACAGACAGTAAATCCGTAATGCGTTTGGCTCCTGCTGTGTGTTTTTGTTCTCATGTATATGACATGCCAGTGTCCGATCGGCACTGCTAGCGTCCCGGACATCCGGATGGACGCCTGCTAGCGTCCCGGACGGATGGACACCTGCGTCCGCATCTGTTTCTGCGCCTGACGCCAGCGTCAGCTACTCGAGAAATTGCACCCCCACTTCGCTCCTTTTGCACGGGCACCGCCCCCTCCGCTTGCCACATCTACATGCCGCACGGGCACCGCATGTGCCCTTGCTGCCATCGCCCTCCACTTCCCATACTCGCTGTCGAGCAGCGCTCCATCCCTGCGCACCCCCCACACGCAAGCACGGCGCCCAAATAGTTGTAGCAGGCGGTTGTGGCATATGAGTCACGTTACAACATATGCAACATATCGATCTACTTTTGAAATATCCAGTTGAAACACTTGCAACATTTGTACGAAACAGCTGAAACACTTACAACAAATATATAAACACACTTGCAAAAGCACATGAAAACTCTTGAAAACCATTCCAAACATATGCAATATCTAGATAAAATAGTTGCAACATACGTGTGAAACATATTGTCGGTGTTTCGGATCACCGACGAGTAAATTTGTATCTGTGCGTCTTGCCCGGATGGTGTGCTCGGAGGACATAAGGATTTATACTGGTTCAGACGAAATATCCCTACGTCCAGTGCGCTGCTGCTCGTGTTACCGGCACTAGTTTGTAGTAGGGGTTACAAACGGGCAAGAGAGGGAGAAGTTCCCAAGTCTCTTGTGAAAAGATCGAATGGAGTAGAATCTTGCTGAGCTCATTCAGTTGTGTGCTCGTTTTGCTATGTGTTCTCCGTGAGCTCGTCCCCCTCGTGGGGCGTCCTGCTTCCCCTTTTATAGGGGAAGGGGAAGACGCCGGTTACAGAGAGAAAGAAGGAGAAAAGTGAGGAAGAAGAAGGCCTCCAGGGCCGTCGGGTCCTTCTCCTTCATGCAGGTCCCACCGATGCTGTAGATGGTGATGGGGACGGCTCCACGCCGGGCTTCTGTTCACCACTAGTGCCATGCCTCAGCGTCATCAGCTGGTCGTGGCGCCCCATCCCGTCCTGGCGGACGGCGTGGCGAACCGACGTGCCAGTCAGCGGCCGTACAAGGAGTAGGCAGTGCAGTGACCATGCACCCATCACTATTGGCGATGTGAACCCCTGGGTGTTGCCTGACGTGGCCATAGGTCACATCGAGACATGCCTACTTCCTACCCGGTGTCAGAAGTTTGACCCCGGGGTCGTACCTTCTGACCCGTAGTGGTTGGAGGCGGTATGGGTCCCCGTCGGGCGAGACGGAGCCCGCGCCCCAAGGGTCGGGCGAGACGGCTCCCATACCCTGGGGGTCGGGCGATACATACCCTGCGCCCCTAGTGTCGGGCGAGACAAAGACCGTCCCTTTGGGGTCGGTCGAGACTGAAATACGTCTTTGATTATCTAGGTGAGTCGTCGTCTGCGGTCCTCAAATCCCTTCTTCGGGTATCCCTAATACTGATACCCGACAGTAGTCCCTGAGCCTACGGAGGAGTAAGATACTCCTTCGTAGGCTTTTTTGGATGGAGTGACTTCGAGGGCCTCGATCTTCTGATGCCCGCAGGATGCCTTGGTGGGTTGCGATTCCCCTCTATCGCAACCGGACTCCTTGGGAGCATGTAGCTGCGGGATTCGGGGGGCCGGAAAAGATTTCTCTTTATTCCGACCCCTCCCTAGGATCCGATCGATCCGCCATCGTCATGCGACTGCGTATTCGGTCTCCTTATGAGTACAACTTCCCTCAAGCCCCCGCGTGTTGCAGGGGTCCAATCGAGCGGTTAGCTTGTCTTTGTGATCATCATCCCTCAAGCGTTTTTTCAATAAAACAGAGGGGCTGAGCGGTGCCATGTTTTTCCTCGAAGGACGAATCATGGTGCTCGGTGAGCTGTTAACGGGCTAGTCCGAGTGGGGCCCCGGCTTCCCGTTCACGGGGGTCCATCATGGGTCAGCTGATGATCGATTCTAGATTCTTGGCGGCCAATCCATATAGTTCTTGAGTCCGTTCATCCGGTCCCAAGGGCTCGTTGCCTTTCTTTGAGGAAAAACCATGGACTAGGAACCGACCAAGACTCGAACGTGGGCTGGGATGCCCGCGGCGCTTGTGCGCCTAGGTACTGGCCTCTAGTGGGCCCATCCCTTTTCACCCCTCACTCTAAGGGCACCCTAGAGCGGTTGTGAACCCATCGGTGGACCAACCTTCGAACTCCTAGGCCTGAATGGGCCGTAGGAGCATTTTTAGCTCCGTATCCCTCCTTACATGCGACAGTTCTCAGCCCACCAATTAGGCGAACCGTCATCCGGCGCATCCTTAGAGGGAGCGGCCAGAGGTAGCGTGCGCGCTTTTCTTTGAGAGACGATGTGACGCAGTGCGATAGGCGCGTAAATCTAGGCGGACGGTTCGCCTCTCGCCGCACCCCACCATATAAATAGCAGCCTCCCCCTTCATGTTTTGGCACACCAAACCACAATATTGCCTTCTCCACCTCTCCGCTGTCGTCATTCGGATTTGCTGCCCTTGCTAATCCATCGCCAGCGCCCTAGATCCGTAGCCTTCATTTCTCCACCACCGCCTTCGCTTCTCCACCATCGCCTTCGCCTCCCATGGAGTCGTGGTACCGCTCCGACGTCACCCACGTGCGCATGGAGGGCCTCATCAAGCGCAGTCTTCTCCGCGGGAGGACCAACGCGGTGGAGTAGCTCGTGCCCAGTCGTGAGGATGCGCTGACACCGCCCGATGGCTACATCGTGTCCTTCGCACCCTTCCACGAGCGTGGATTCACGATTCCTCCCCATCCGTTCTTCCAGGGACTACTGCACCACTACCATATCGAGCTACAACATCTAAACCCCAACGGGATCTAGCACATCGCGGCCTTCATCGCGCTATGTGAGGGATACCTAGGGATCGAACCCCACTTCGAACTGTGGAGGTATTTCTTCTCCGTCTCCCTACTTAAGGAGAAGGAGAGAGGCAGGGAGATCCTGGTGCCGATGGGATATGCGGGCATCCACCTCCGGGGGCAGTGGGCGGCCGAGTACATGCCCTGCCAAGTGTCTAGATCCAACAAGGGATGGCACACGCAGTGGTTCTATTTGAAGAACAACCCCGTCGCCCCCTTGCCGGTCTTCACCAGGCGCTTGATCAAAGAGGCGCCGCCGTCGTGGCCGTGGGGGCCACCCGTCAAGGAAAAGAAGAGGATGTGTGACCTCCTCGAGGCCAGCGTGTTCCAGAAGAACCACGGCCTCCGCGGGGCCAATGTCATCGGGGCATATCATGGGAGTAGGGTGGCGCCGCTGATGGCGCGTGCCATCTTGCTGTACGGGATGACGCCCGGTGCGTAGCTTGATGAGACAGTGCTCACCCAAGGGCCGCTCCATGACAGCGAGGTTGTGCAGCGCATCAAGGAGGCGACAGGGGAGTACGATGCCGTGTTCCCGATCCTAGGACATCCCGCGATGTGGCCGAACGCGGGCTTTTGTCGAGCTGCTGGCAGGGTTGCGCTTTCGGGACTCCATCGCGCCGCTGCCAGAGCATGCGGCCATGAGGGCAGCGAACCGCACCACAGACGAGCGAAAGAAGAAGGACAAGGATGGCAAGGAGGTGAGGCAGCGGGCGAAGCAGCGGGTGAGGCTAAACCAAGGAACGCGGCGGCAGGGCTTAGAGGAGGAAGAGGAGGAGGAAGAAGAAAAGCGACGGTTCTGGGTTGCCCGTTCAATGGGACGAGCTAGGAGGTGCGGAGGTTTTTGGGTCGCCCGTCCAATGGGACGAGCTGGGCGGTGGGGACGAGGATCCGTCTCTACCGCAGGCGGGGCCTTTCCCATGGCATGCCATGGGATAGGAGGGGGAGGACGTGCCCTCGGAACCAGTGAAATCAAGCTGCCCCGTCCCGTCTAGACCTCTCGCGGTGACCCCAGAGTCGGCAAGAACCGGCCGCTCCGTTTTGTCCAGACCCTCCGAGCAAAGGGAGGGCTCGAAGGGGCAACATGCCGACGAGGAGCAGCTAGGGTCGGGTGGGCCAGCCCCAAAACGTCCTCGCCTGATGGCGTCAAGGTGAGTCAAGAGTTTTTTCGTCCATTTGTTCTCATGAATTTTTGCCGTAAACTAACCGTCATGTACTTTGCAGCGTCGGAGGATGTGGGACTCTCCTCAGACTTGTGCCAAAGAAGGGCCTCCTTCGGTAGACGTGCTAGGAGCCAGCTGGCACCGCGCCGGACATGGGCGGGAGTGGCGCTGGGGTGGCCACGGCATCGACCGGGGAGGCACAGCCGATGGCTGCATCCACGGGAGAGCAGACGGAGGAGAGCGTGTCCGAGGCGCCCATGGTGGGTGTGGAGCGGCCGAGTGTCGCCACGACGTCGTAGACGGAGGCGGCGTGGACGGAGCCATCATCCATGCGGGTGGTCACGCCCATGGCAGG